ATATATACACGATATTCTAATATTGCTAAACTATTTAACTTGCTGTTGTGATGTGATGTGATACTGTTGGTTAATATGTTAAACTTAAAGCACATTGTGTATGTGTGTTAATGCCCCCTATATCACATTAACTATGATATACTGTAGGGGAATGATATAGTGTGCTGTTGTCTTGATGTGATATAATATTTTGTTGCATTTGATATGCTCTTGCTAGGCTGTATACTGTACTGTTGCAGCTTGATTTAATGAGCTACAGCAGAATTTAAAATGCTGTTGATGCATGTTTTATTCTTAGTAGAGTCTGTAGATACATCATATGTGAATGGTTGATTAATTTTAGCTATTTAGACATAGCTAAACAGTTCAATTAACTGCAATGTGAGTCCAATGCCTGTAGCACAAGTCCACTTCCAATGATAGAAATATCCTAGTGGGTCATTATGACATGTTACAGAAGGTACTTCTGCTTAAATCGAACCAGTAGTCAGGCTATGGCCATTCAAATATATTTTTTAATTGATCTCTGTTTATTGAGAACATTTTTAAGGCTTTACAGAAGAAGCGCATTCAGGGCAGTGAAACAGATCCACATATTTAGTGGTATAGAATATTTAGGTATAACAGCAATACTTTGCAATAGAAGACTGGAAGTTTTGGATTAATATGCAATGTCATCTTTGAATGGGAGAATTTTCCTCTAGCTATACAACTGGCTAAGAAAGCAGCTTAAAGTTGGACTCTGAGATTTGGGAGCTAATTGAGAACCTAGCTTGTAGGTACAGTATTTTTTGCTCTGAGAGTTTATTGTGGAATTCCACAATAAATAGACATAGAGTTATCTTGTAAAGTTGTGGAATGCTAGAGGTAGCGTTCAATAGGAGGTATTCCAAAGGGTTAAGGTCCTTCATAGTTCTAAGAGGTTTTGGTAGAGATTGCACAAAATGTTGCAATTGGCAGTATCTTCCCATGTCAAGTGGATTTGTTCCCCATTGATCTAAGTTGTGAAAGGGTGGACATTCTTGCACCATCACAGTTGTGATGTAGACACAGCAGTGGCATGAAAATCCATTTGTTGAAACCAGAACTGGTAAAATCTGGGGGGAAGCAGTTGTGGCCATTTAAAGAAAGAAGTGGGGAGTTATAAGTAGAATTGCCTCTTTACGGGTCATTTTGTTTAGGTGAAGCATCTTTTGAAAGAGTTCTTAGCGATGAAGACACAGAAGGTATTTTCAGGGACACCCATTTCTTTGAAGTGGTATGACACATCCAATCTATTATTAAGGTTAGTCCCGTGGTAATATAAGATAATCTCTGATAGAGCTAAGTCTAAGTCACCATTAGATCTATCTCTAATGAGGATGCAATGAGAGATTAATTTAGTTTGGTTTTGAACACATTTGTTCACATTTCTCTGCAAAGTTTTGCAGTAATGTAAAGGAAGGGAGATTGGGAGTGTTTGGCATTGAAAAACCACCCAGGGCACAACATTTATCTTGATTACACTGATTTTTCCTAAGCACAATAATGCGATAATTTGAATTTTTCCATTTTGTGAGAACTTATGATATTGAGAAGTGACATATATAAAAAAGTAATGGGGGGG